GAACGGAACCCACATAGATATCCCTATACAATCAAGGCAAAGATTGACATCGGCATCAATTACTTGAGGTGGGGCCTTATCTGAAGTGTGCTCCTTTCACTATCTGCATCCAAGTTTAGCCGCTGCGTACACCTCCGCAGCCCGTCGATAGACCTGGAAACTATCATAACTAAGCATACGAAGTGTATGCTACTTACAAATCATTTATTAATATGTTATTTCAGGATCCATCTACTCTTCACATCGAGGGCGGCTATTCAGCGTTTGGTGTCGATACAGAAGCCAGTACAAACGTTGATATCAGAATCGTCCCAGTCGAACTTGCTTTGATTGATTACGAAAAGCGAAAAGCTTTCGAGCTCTATGTAAGCTGCTCTGTAACCTATTCCTGGACAAACTCCGTTCTTAAATAAATAATTCCAGGTGACGTCACCATCCGGGCGATGTCAAATCAACGTTGACGTCATAGACGTGAACGATAACGCTCCGAAATGCGTTCACGACACCTTCACTTTTTATGTCACCGAAAATCACAAACCAGTGGTTCTGGGAGAGGTCACGGTAAGCATTTTGGCATATCGATTTTTACCACTTATTTATTTATTTTATTTTATTCATTGACCATTTCTCACATGCATTATCGGAAATTGCTATGTAATGTAATGTTTTATGTTGTGTTGTGCTTATAGCCGATAATAAGTTAATAATAATAACGAATAATAATAATAATAATAATAATAATAATAATAATAATAATAATAATAATAATAATAATAATAATAATAATAATAATAATCCCTACTATATATAAAGCGCTAAGTCTGTCTGTCTGTCTGTGTGTGCGTGTGTGTCACGAAATTCATAGCACGCGTCGCAGCAGTCGTTAGGAGCTGATTTTTTGATATGATATAGGGGGTGGGACGGAACATATTTGGTGGGGGTCACAAAGTGATAACGACTGATAAGAGCAGATAAGAGGCGCTGAAACACAAATTTCACGAAATTCATAGTGCGCTTCGCAGCAGTCGTCAGGAGCTGATTTTGGGGCATGATATAGGGGGTGGGACGGGAACATATTTGGTGGGGGTCAAAAAGTGATAACGACTGATGAGGACTGATAGGAACGATATGCGTACGAACGTAGAGAGCGCGTTGTAATTGTAAACTCCTTCCGACCACTACACCTTCTTAGAGTTCTGAGGATAATGGGATGCTCGAATAAATATGATCCTACTATATATAATCGGCTAAGCGGTTGTGCGTGTGTGTGTCTGTGTGTGTGTGTGTGTTTGTCTGTCTGACCGGAAATTCATAGCTCGGGCACCAGTGGTCGTCAGGAGTTGGTTTCAAGATATGATATAGGGGGTGGGACGGGAACATATTTGGTGGGGTACAGAAAGTGATAACAACTGATAAGGGCTGATAAAAGGCGCTAGAACGCAAGTGTCGCGAAATTCATAGCTCGGGCACCAATGGTCGTCAGGAGCTGATTTTGGGACATGATATAGGGGGTGGGACGCAAACATATTTGGTGGGGGTCACCAAGTGATAACGACTGATGACGACTGATATAACGACATGCGTACGAACGTAGAGAGCACTTGAAATAGAGAATAGAGAGCAGATTGTAGATAATGCCTTTTATTTCAATATCATTTCATCAGCGTTGTAATTGTAAACTCAAGCACCTTTCGACCGCTACACCTTCTAGAGTTCTTGAGGATGAATGGGATGCTCGAATAAATATGATAATGAATACTGGGCATTCCGTTTTGAGATATTCGACCGCTAAATTACCTCGATACTCGACGCATAGTGGTTGTTTACATCATCACTTTAGCTGTGCACTTCACTGCGCTTATCAAACAGTGAGATACAGCCAAGATGGGCAGCCTATGTAACTGACGGTAATACATTTAACGAAGCAGCTATAATTTAGCGGTGAAACCTAAAGCTTCATCGATTGTCAGTTCTATCAATGCGCGCGGTAGCGGGCGGAGCTAAACTGGTAATAAATAATATCTGTAGCAATAATGTCCACAAAATGTTCACCTAAGTGGTGCGATCCCCTCCTTTGCTAATAGTAAGGTAGACTTGTTCGCCAGCAGGTAGTGTCCTTTTAGGGTATCCCCAGAGTCGCCGTCGCGCGAAAGAGCCGAGTCGGCGACGAGTTGATGCGCGTGATGTGCGATGTAGGACGTGCAGTGGGACGCTCTATTTAAAGGCAAAAGTCAGGCTCGTGTTTGGGCATTATGGCGCCTGAAATTGAGTGTAGAGATGGGAGGTGGAACGACAGTGAAGAAAAAACGCAAGAAACCGTCGACAAGACCGAAATCGAAACCCCTTCCCTTCTAGCAGTGAAGGAGGCTTGCTCGGGGGAGAGCCACGTCCAAACGAGTTTTCCGGATATGCCAGCCGTTCCATCGGTTGATACGGCAATCAACCTAGCTGATCTCACACGTTAGGCCAGCCACGCACCACATCCCGCGGTGGGCGGGACCAGCTGATGTAACGAACCCATCGCTGTAAGTAGTAGGCCAGAGGCCTTGACGGCGCGCAATCTCGAGTCAGGAGTGTGGCATCACCCCTCTGAGCGCATTCCTGGAAATATTAGTGATGGAAAGGCCTTCTATGGTCACCTAATCCTGACTCGTGGCTTTAAGCGAACTCCCTATATTACGCGCGCGACTTTTCCGCTGACTGTGCCTTCTTGCCGCGCGACGGGCCACCTAGGGGATACCCGTCTTTTTAAGGTTCCAATATTTAATGAAGGTACCAAAGGCTCGCTGAGCTCCGATCTACGGTTGGCGCCTTCCTGTCTGTTCCTTCGTGTCAGGATCTTTACTTCGGGAACATGGTCTGAGAAAAGTTCTGTAAGCTCTAATCTCGCTGTCAAAAAGCCTGATTTTCGATGCTTTCGGCGTTTCTGTTGTTTTTTCGCTTCCCTAAAAATAAAAAGGATAAAGCATTTGCCGTTGATCAATCCCTTTTTGGGATGCGGCACGCATTCTACTTCCATTTGTACATTCGTAGTGGCGTTTGAATGCGATGTGGCCTATACAATGACTTGCGGGGGCCAGCCGATGTACAAGTCAGTGTTTTTATCCTCCCGTTCGAACTGGTTCGAACGGGGAGTCGCATTTGTGTTCTGGGAGGGGAGAGGGGTCGCATTGGTCGCATTGCGCGCTTTGGTGATCAGGGGCGCAGGGCATAGGTGCGTGCGAAAAAAGTTGCCGTTTCACTGGTGCTCCCCCCCCCCCGGTCGACGGCTGTTTTTGGGGGAAAAGTGGGTGGAGTTTCGGAGTTTTAGGTAGGTTTTGGGCTGTGTCAACTGGTCTCAGAATCAAATACTGTAAGGGTCGCTCGAACTGTGAGTCCGTGCTGGCGATAGGGAGGGGGTCGCAAAAATCCTAAAAATGTTCGAACGTGACGGTTGACCCTGTGTACAAGTCAGTGTTTTTATCCTCCCAGACAAGTCTGGTACCAATTAACCGACCCCGGAGGGATGGAAGGCTTGGTTGGCCCGGGCGACTCACGACCGAGGACCGCAGCGCCCACTAGAGGCTGTAAATTTATGTGGGAACCCCATAACATCTTGCTCTCCTGTTACCGTGACTTCAAAGATGTCGCAGAAATATAGTAAAAAGTAAGAAAGAAACATAAGAAACATAGTAACTTTCTTCGAAGCAGGCTTCTATGGGTACGGAAAGGCGAAACGTAGGCGAATGAATGTGCACTTCCAGCTACGCTTTTGTTCGAAACTGTGTGTGAATGTATTTCTCGCGCACTAAAAACTGGCTAAAAACCAATTCATTTCCCGGACATTCTTGACAATGTATCACCATAACCTTTTAGAGAATCTTTTGTCACACCTTTTAACACGACATCACATTGTCATGACGGTGCTAAAACAATAGCAGAGTTATCAAAGACACTCTGGATCAGGTCAAGAGTTCGTTGAGAAATTCTCCATGAGGGGAACGTATTTGTGATTTATGGATTGGTGCCATATTTCGGGTACCCGGCTCTCGTGGTGATAGAAGCTGACGCTTTTGCATTTGCGGAGAAGTTTTCTTCGAAAATTTTCTCCATCTCTAATCATGTGTACTAAGAGAGTATGGATGGATTGTATAGAAATTGCTGTTTCAGCTGCTTTATACATATAAATCCGCAAGCACCTTCCCCACTGCTCCAACACTCGTTCTTTAGGCGACCGATGCTGACTCTGCTATCTACTCACCTATCCGGTACAGTATTCATGGAGAGGGCGCAGAGCTGTTTGCGATTTCGGAAGAAGGCGAGTTCCGATCCTTGCTGCCCATCGATCGGGAAGAGCATGACAAATTTGAGCTCACAGTGAGAGCCACCGATGCAGGAGGTGAGGTTATTGTTGTGCCCAAATTTCACGGTCGCTCTCTGAGCATCATACTTTGCTCTTCCAGCGGGATTCATGTGAAGAAATCTTTTTTTCAGGGAAGTCAACGGATTGTCCAGGGAAAGTTGTTGTTCGAGACATCAACGACAACACTCCAACTTTCGAACATTCCGAATATCTGATTGAAATTGAAGAGGAAAAAACATTGAAGCAAAAGCTCGAGGTAACTCATTCCGAATTCAATCGCTCACTATCTTTAAGTTGTATCTACAGGCATCCGACCCTGATATTGGTGAGAACGGTGAGATTGTCTATACTCTGGAGAACGTGCCTCAAGGCTTAGCCGTGGAGGCATCTGCTGGAATTCTGTTCATTGGCAAGCTCGATCGTGACACCATGGACAGTGATTCAGTTCGATTCGTGCTTCGTGCAACTGATCGTGGACATCCACCACGGACATCTGTCACCAATGTCACCATCAACGTGAAGGTACAGTATCATATGCGTGAGGTCATAAATGTGCTGCAAGGCAAGCCTCGTTGTTAAATAAAAATATTCAGTACTTGGAGGAAGTTGCCCGTGGATTTAAT